ACTGACCGAAAAACTAACCAATAGAAACGTTTTGGTTACGTAACTCATGCATGGTGTATGAGCGCAAAACAAAAGATAGTGCACGGTCGTGGACCTTCCAACATAAATCTTGGCATCTTTGTTTGCTCCTTTGATGTTTGCCGGGCTTCATAACCATTCCCCTCTATTAACTGAGTTGAAAACAACGTAAAATAGTGGTATTTTTTAACATAATCGGGATATTTAAGCTACAAGCAATGTCTGACCGTATTTTGTGACTATACATTTTTTTCCGAGCCTACAACCATACGTTCTTCGTGTTACACAACAATTTGAAACTGAAGCATGGAAAATAAAAAAAAAAAGGAAATTGGATTTACTCAGACAATAAACCCCACATATCATCACCATCACCAAAAAAATCGACAAAGTCTATTTACTGTGATAGCATTACCAGTCACGAGATACAATTGGCAACATTTCAACTTTTGTCAAGCTAGAAGTCTCACATGTGCAGTTTAATCAAAAAACTTTGGATGATATTTTTTTCGCGCGACCTCTTGGTCAGATAAATGAAGCTACGGTATTTGCAAAACAAAGAAAATTTCCAAATTAATAATTCTTCTGAGCTGCAACAAATAAAAGAACAACAAAGCAGGAAACTGAAAAGTTCGAAACAGGGATAAATGGTACGAAAATTTCCCGGGAAAGGTTCCAAAAAGTCCGGAAATTGTTGAATTTCCGAAAAGTGAACCATTCAATGCAACCACAAATTCAGGGAGGAAAATAAATGGAACAGAAATTCCCGATAAGAAATTTGCGAAAATTTGCTGGAGTATGTCTCGCGACGCTGTCCTTTCGCCCGGAAATTCCGAAAAACATGTTGTTATATTGCTTTTGGCTTCTTGACGGCTGTATCACCCATAAATGTAACAAAAATCGACCGTTGATGTAATACTGACCCTAAATGTAATAACTTTTAACCACAAATGTAATAAATCCACTGACCATAAACGTAATAAACTGAATAACCATAAATGTTATAAGGCTTAACAATAAATGTAATGAACTGCCTATGACCTCTGAGTCAAGGGGACACAAACCCTGCCATTCTCTTACTTCGTACAGAGTAGCCTGTTCCAGGCTCTCGAATAGTCAGGGGCAAGCGAAGACGTCTTATTCGTCCTCGTTTTTCTCTCGCTCGCCCGCTTCCTGAAACAGGCTAAGCACAAGGAGTACGGGGGGTCCGTACATCAAATTGGAGAAGGGAAGTTTGAGAGAACGAGAACTGCTTTGGGGATACGAGCCGAAAGGCGAGTGTTCTCACAGCTTTTTCGAGTTCTCCCAAACTTCCACGAGTGTCTCTATAACTCGATAGAAACAAGGAGAACATGTTTTCTCTTTCTTTTAGAAAATTTCACGACGGAAAACAGAAACTACATAGCTACTTGTTTACTTTGATCATCAAAATGTAAATTCCCTTTGTTCTCGGCATCATTTCGTCAACAATTCGTGCCAGTTCTGTGTTTCTATATCGAGTTTTAAAAATAAACGAGATACTACGCGCGTGCTGATTGGTCAATAGAGTTGTAAAACCTATGTTCTATTGTACTGGTAACTAGAGAACGCAGAACAGAACAATGTAATAATCGCATGGTGCCAAATAACCATCGTTGGTCCATGTCTGTACAATGTAGCAGCCACTTTTACAGCTTAAAGGGAATTTGTGCAACTTTGGTTAGTTTTATTAGATTGGTTGAAGATTAAAGAGCTTAAGATTTTTGTAATTTAACTCAGCTCGAAAATATTTCCATCTTGATTTAACAATGTAGGAAACTTTCTATAGTGCAATAAATTTAAGTCTGGTTATCGTTTCTTCTTTAAGTTAATCTCACAAAACAGCTAGAGCTGAAAGAAATGACACTCGTCATCATTTTAACGCTTTCAGTCTACATTTGAATTTTCAATTAACGCTTCGAAATGGTGTCAAACATTGGCGAACCGGTTATGCTCGTTTTCTTGACATAACAAATTACCATGGCAGTGGTATAACCTGTACAAAAGACCTTGAATTTAGCTTTAAGTGCTTATAACTCAAAATCTGTTTCGGTGACCGCTATTTTTATTATCGAATTTTAATCAGAATCCAAGATTCAACTTTCACGAAGCTAAAAAACATTGTGGGGTTTGGGGGGCGGGAGTGGGGGGAGATTCAGAACCACCTTAAATTTTCGAAAAATTAAAGTGTCTCGGAACCCTTCTAACCATTTTTATAACTTAGCAAAAAGTTGTATTTTAATTTGTACAAAAGCTGTACCTTTCAGTACAGTGCCTCTCTCCACCTAGGTGGAGAGAGGCACAGTGAGAGTAAATTCTCTTGCCCAAAAACACAGCACAATGTTCAGGCTAGGGCTCGAACGCGGAGCGCTCGATCTGGAGGCGATCGCACTAACCATGAGGCCACCGCGCCTCCCATGATTATAATAAGAAGTGACGTTTTTCTCAAGAGAGGTTTTCGATTTGAAAAACAGGCATCACCCAGACGAAAGACTTCCTGAAAACACCTTTTTCAGTTGACGCCATAGTACTAAATCAAACGAATGGCCAATCATTGCTGAACACGCCATGGTCATTTAAGTCCTTAAAACTCAAAAGCGAGTCAGGTGACCCCATCGCTTGGGGTACCTCCGCAATGGACTAGCATCCCATCTATGGGGGAGTAGAAATATTCATCATCATCATCATCATCATCATCTTTATTTAAAAACACGGTCAATACATCAGACATTAGTGGCTTTATGTTACTAAAACTGGAGATAAGCGCCGGCCTCATGGGCAACTTGGTTCGTATGCAGACTTTAACTTTTAAGGGCCCATTAACCGATTTATGCGCGCGCTCGCGCGCGTTGCTAATGAGGTGAAATTTCACTTCCGGTTACTTACGTCAGCCTGAGCGCGAAAAATAAAAACAACTCGATAACTTGCAAATTCGCTCACATTTTAGATGTTTTTCTTTGTGTTTCACAAAATGCAAAGTAAAAGAAGCACAAGCAAAGACAAAATAAGAAAAAGACAGAAAAACAAGAGCAATAGAAAGAGAAAAACTAAATCCGTGTGGCTTTGTTTGATCTTACCAAAGCGCGCTGGTAGTGTAAATTGCGCACACGCTGATAGGGTAACTTCCAATATATATCGGGCGCACTTCCGGTTTCTTTAAATGCTAAAAGAAACGCGGTTTTTCATTAAATCCAGCCTTTTTCGACGGATTTTGATTAAAGCCAACGTTGGAAAGATAGCTATGCATTCCTTTTTCCAAAATCATGCTTTTTTCAGAAAATTACGAATTTTTAATATTTTGAAATTCTCTCAAAATCTGACCTTTTAAAAATGAAACAAAATCTATGCATAGCGTAATGAGGATTTAAATTAAAATATTAAATAAATGAAAAAAATCCCGATAAAGTAATTTGCCTGGGAGCCTTTGCGTTTTTTCAGTATTAGTCACATGACCCTGGGCGTGGCCTCATGGCGTCATCACTAGTGTTACTGATCATGAAAAAGTTAAAACACATGAAATAACTCTGAGCTAACTAAAAATGATGAGGTTATATGAGAATAAATTTTCCTTAGCAACGGCTCGAAAAGATCGGTTAATGGGCCCTTAACCTTACTATAATCAGCTTTTGACCTTTTTATGAATTCTATTATTCCGACTTGCAAACACAGGAGTGTAGCGGACTGTACAAACTTATTTTGTGTAGTAAAAACCTCATTGTAGTTAACTCGGATCAGCGAAGCATATGCATGGATCTATCTGCATGCAAGAACGACTTTCGTATTACATTAAAATGACGTGGGAACACAAATTAAAGCGAACTTGAAGCATGCATTTCTAGCTGCGAAAAGCGAAAAGGTTGTTTTGATGGTTTTAAATTGCTGGCAAATGAAACGATTTTTAAACACTCTTAAGAAAAAAAGAAAATTTTCCTATTCGAAAGAAAATCCATGGTTTTGTCCTTGCCACGTTTTTATCCTTTGTTTGTTTGCTCATCAGGTCAAGGCCTTAACCAGATTGTTCTTGGTCTGTCAATCTAGCCAACAAGGTGTCAAGTTTCCGGTTTGTCTCCTCTAAGCTTTCCTCGAGTTTTGTAACCTTTCTGGTAAGTTCTTCTCCATTTTCTCTGGAACACGTCTGAAACGAAAATTAAACAGCACACTGTCTCATTGAGAATTTCACTGGGAGTTGAGAATTTCATTTAGATTGTAATGAGTATTGTAACTGTTATAATATTTTGATCTGTCACTGATATAACTTTTAAGTTACTTAAAAGTATACATACACCGTTTATCCTATTAACCAAGCACTAGGAAGCTCGGCTATTAAGATATTTATTACACGAGTAGAAATATTCAGAAAACATCACAAATTATTGGGAACCGACTTTATCCGTCTAACTCATGGTACTGTTTTCTAAAAAAGAAGGAAAAGCGGTTGGAAGAAACACAACGTTTAACGTGTAAGTTAATTCTTTTACAAAGGTAAGCTATAAGCCTTGCTGATTTTAGTTGCAAGCCCTTTGTATTACCATTGTCCTGAGATGAACATCAATATGAGCTCACAAAAAACCCATACCAGCTCAAGTTTTCGGTTTGTCTCCTCCAAGCTTTCGTCGATTTTTGTAACCTTTCTGTTAAGATCTTCACTCTTGGAAATCTCGTGTTCTGCATTTTCTCTCATACACATCTGAAACGCAAATCAAACAGCACATCGTTTCACTTGAAATTTTACTGGGAGTAGAGAGTTTCATTAATATAATTGTTATGAATATTATCACTGTTTTGTAGATACCTTTTTGTTACCAACATAACTTAAATATACATAATCTGTGTATCTTAGAGCAAATATATCAGTGACGTCACCCATTGTTATTAATATGCCAACCAGAGAACTATTGGCTGGTGAAACAAAGAAATCTGTTGTTTAACGTTTTAACTAACAAAAAACAATGTTTGTAAACAGATATTTTCCGTACTAATCAACTTCTCCCTGCAAGCTTGGTGAATAAGAGATTTATTGCAACACTACAATGCTGTGAAAAATAAATCCCATGATCAGGTGGTAAACTTAAAGTAAACTGACAACTTGATGTTTTGTTTTTTTTTTGTTTTTTGTTTTTTGTTTTTCAAAAAAGGGAATAAGAAAGTTTCCATGAGAGAAGTAGGATGGAGTGATACTGCTCATGACACAGTTTGTGAGTGAATGATTATGGCAAAAGATCCACGATCCGCAAAGAAAAGGTTCCCGCAAAAATTTACTCCACTAGCGAAATTATACATACAAAAATTGTACGAAGAGTCTTGTTGGTGCCATTTATTTTGAACTTTTCTTTTGTTGCTTGGTTTTATCATGGACATACTATTAAAGAAAAGGAGGTTGGAAGAAACATATAAATAATCTTACAAAGCCATAAAACTACAAGAAACCTGCGTGGGATTATTCGAGTGTGAGTGAGTGAGAACTTTATTAAAGTGTCAAAAAACCCTATAGCCTGGGAATAAAAACACCATACTAATTAGGGGACACTGCTAAAAAACTATACTAATACTAATATTAATACAATAAAAAAAAAAATAAAAAAAAAATAAATGACTTGAAGGGCATTATGTGCAGCATAGGATGCAGCCCTTACAACCGGTGTCCATTAAGCG